TCCTTCCTTCCTTCCTTCCTTCCTTCCTTCCTTCCTTCCTTCCTTCCTTTTGTCCACACTACCTTGAACTTCATTAGAAGAATGTGACCAGGAGAAGAGAATCTACAATGATTCACATAAAGAGAATAAGTACCAGGGGAACTGTCTGTCTCAGGCTCTAGGTAAAAGAGAATTCCATGGTTAATTCAACAAACATTTAGGTGCCTGCCTTTAACCAGATCCTGAGGATACAGTGAGAACAAGACAGAAGTGCCCTCAGGACTCAGGGTGGCTCACAATCTGATACAGAAGTGCTGTAGCCAGAATTGGGGGTGAGAGGGTGGGGGTAGGGTGGGAGATAATGAGTTTAGACGAGTGCTTAAAAATGGAAGCAACACTACATAAAATTCTTTGTGTGTGTTTATTTGTCTTCTTTAATTAATCTAAGAAAATCAGTGGGGGGCCCAGCTCACCCATTTGGGTCATATTCTGAGAAGGACACCAGTTACACAGCCCTTTTAAGGCTTGGACTTATGGCTTTTGAAATTTTCATGATGCTTTAGAAAGTCCATGGCCAATAATAGTAGGGCTTCTGGGCTTCCTATGGAAGTAGGTTCTGCTGCTTAATCTCTCCACACACCAAGCAACTCATGTACTAGTCAGACTCACCCAGTGACAAAATGGTCCTGGTTTGCCTGGCATGTTCCCTGGTTTTAGCTCTGAAAAATCTCACATCCTAGGAACCACTCATGCACGTGCAAACTTTTGAACCTAGGCCAATGTGGCTTTCACCTAACCTTATTAGTACAGCTTGCTCCATTAGCTCCAGCAAAGTCTTTCCTGTATTCTTATTTCATTGGCAATATGAAGTTTTTAGAAGTTCTACCAGCACATCATTTTCTTCTCTTTTTATCTCCAATTGCCTTTGTCTAAAATCCTTCCAATGGCTTAAATAGACTCCAGCAAAGCATCCATGTGAAAGTCTTTAATTTTTTTACCAATGTTTATTTATTTTTGGGGGGGGGTGCGGTGGGGGGAGAATATGTCAGAAAGGGAGGGGCAAAGAGAGAGGGAGACACAGAATCTGAAGCAGGCTCCAGGCTCTGAGCTGTCAGCACAGCTTGAATTCATGAACCACAAGACCAAAACCTGAGCTGAGGTCAGATGCTTCACCAACGGAGCCACCCAAGCGCCCCACGTGAAAACCTTTAAGTAAGAACCTGGAAGGCATGTCTTACCATCTCTCGACATCCCGAGGGCAAGACACTTCTGCAGTCGGCAGTGTTGGCAACGGTTTCTGTTGGTTCTGTCGATTAAACAGTTTCTCTGCCTTGGGCAGGAGTAAGAGGCATTGTTTTGTTGGCTCCTCCTGAAGAATCCCTAGAAGAAAAGAGAATGGAGGGAGATATTATTTATAAGAAGGAAAACGGAGATAATTAACATACATGTTTGAGACAATTAACATACACATTTGCTATATTTTCTACCGTGAATGTAATGGAGTTTAATAAAAAAAAAAAAACAACTTTTTTTGGATACTTCTCCTTGGATATCTTACAGATGATTTGCCTGGGGGCAAATATGTACCATCTACAGAGATAGGAAGGCATCTTTCATTCATTCATTTAATCAGTGTTTACTAAAGACATTTGTGCGCTGTGTTCTTTGCAAAGAAAAACAGGACAGGGTTCCGGCCATCAAAGGAATGGCAGAGGACAGTGTCACTGCTAAGCCAAATATGACAAAACTTGAGGAGGAAAATAACACAGGCTTATGTCAAGTGCTGTGGGGGACATTGGTCACAAGAGCCGTACTGAGGAGGGTGGGTTCAGCATGTGCCAATATCTTCCCGGTTTCTAAGAAGCATTTTACCCATTTGAAAAACTTTAAATATGCCCAGAAGGCATCTGCAAGGTTGTTTTTTTTAAACCAGTGATGTGCCTTATAATTAACCATATTTTTAAATAAAGCAAATATGGTATATATAAACTGTTCAATAAGAATAAGCAATAAATAGACTATAGAGATGTAGGAGGTTTTCGTGCAAGTTAGGTTTCTTTCTGGTACACAGTTAACTGCCATGAACCATACATTACCATTCTAAATAAATCCATAACTGAGTTAATTATTAAAAAAAATTTCTTTGGGGTGGCTAGTGGCTCAGTTGGTTGTCTGACTTCGGCTCAGGTCATGATCTCGTGATTTGTGAGTTCGAGCCCCACATCAGGCTCTGCACTGACAGTGAAGGGCCTGCTTGGGATTCTCTCTCTCTCCTCACTCTCTGCTCCTCCCCCACTCCTGCTTTCTCTCTCTCTCTCAAAATAAATAAACTTAAAACAAATTTTTTTAATTAAAAAATTCTTTGGATACCATGCACCTTAGCTATCTTACAGAAAACCCTAAAGGTGGAGCAGGGGGCTCCTCGGTGGCTCAATCAGTTAAGCATCCAACTTTAGCTCAAGGCACGATCTCGCGGTTTGTGGGTTCGAGCCCCAGGTCACGCTCTGTGTTGACAGTTCGGAGCCTGGATCCTGCTTCAGATTCTGTGTCTCCCTCCCTCTCTGCCCTCCCCCTCTCATGCTCTGTCTCTCTCTCTCTTTCTGAAAAATAAATAAACATTAAAAAAATTAAAGAAAACGTTAAAAAAAAGAAAAGAAAACCCTAAAGAGGAAAATCGGGGTTTCCTCGATTATCAGCAGGAGGACAGAGCAGGGCTGGGACTAGGCTGTGGCTAGTCAGGCACCCATCTTGGCCACAAAATTTAAGGATTGCCAAAAAACCTGTCAATCAGGATAAGTAATATTTTAACACAATATATTAAGAATCAACATTAATGTAAAACACCCCAAAAAGTTTAAAGAGGATCAAGATCATCGATTTTCCTTTAGTTTTGGGCTCTCCTATGACATGGCCTGTCACTATAAAGAGACCTTGCCACTCTTTTCTTTTTTTTAAGTTTATTTATTTTGAGAAAGACAGAGATGGTGTGAGCGGGTGAGGGGCAGAGAGAGGAAGAGAGAGAATCCCAAGCAGGCTCTGCACTGCCAGCACAGAGCCGGATTCAGGGCTTGAACTCAAGAAACTGCGAGATCATGACCTGAGCCAAAACCAAGAGTCGACGCTTAACCGACTGAGCCACCCAGGTGCCCTGTGAGCTTGCCACTCTTATGAAGAACTTCGGAAATGGGTAACTCGGAAATGGGACAAGAGAGAAAAAAATGCCAACTGGTTTTGTGTTGTAAGCCCGAAGCCATTCAAAACAAGGACAAATTTGGTCCCCACGGACCAGTGGTGGCAGGATGAGATATCCAACTGTCCAGTGTGAATGAATTCACAGAGCCCTTTCAAACAGAGATCCCATCCAAGCTGCCAGGGATTGAAAGGACGTATTCCATATACAAACGGTCCCTGACTTCAATGGTTCAATTTACGATTTTTCGACATTACAGATGGTCTGAAAGCAATACACATTCAGTAGAAATCATACTTCGAATTTTCAATCTGGATCTTTTCCCAGGCTAGTGAGAGACAGCACGATGCTCTTTTGTGACGCTGGGCAGGGCTGCGGCCACAGCTTCAGTCAGCCCAGCGATTGTGGGGGTCAACGACCGATAGCGCTCACAGCCATTCTGGTTTTCATGTTCTGTACAGTATTCAATAAATTACATAAGACATTCCATGCTTTATTACACAAGGGGCTTTGTGTTAGGCGATTTTGCCCAATTGTAAGCTAAAGCAAGTGTTCTGAGCACATTTAAGGTGGGCTAGGCGAAGCTATGATGTCCACTGGGTTAAGTGTATTAAATGCATTTTTGACTTAAGATGTGTTCCGCTCAGTGAGTTTATAGGGACATGACCCCATGTAAGTCAAGGAAGATCTGTGCCAGCAAAGGTGTCAGAAAGCGAAACTTTGGCCCATCAGTCTTGGTGAAAGATGACTTGGGAATTTACATTTTAAGAAAGAATTGGTGGTTTTTTTATCTTCGGATACTCCAGTGCCACTTAGCAAAAGAGCTGACAGAGAAGACTTCTAAAGTCACAGCTACAGGCCTAATTTAAGGCCAATTTGACATTAATTACGAGGCATTTCTTGCTTATCTGTTGCTCATTATTGCAAATGAGGTTTTTGGCACGAAAAAGAGATTCTGTTTCAAATGTTATTGAATGAATAGGAATTTGAATTAAGTGCGCAAGCTGAACTGATGTTATTTAAAATGGGTTGTTCATGTTGACTCAGAATGGTATTATGAAAATTCAGAGGTTGATACCGAATGCGCTGACACTGACATCTTATTCTAAACGGAATTTCTTGAGATTTCCAGTTGGAGAAAAACACAGCATATTTACAAATGTGGGTTTTTCCATGAAATAAAAAAAAAAGTAGTGCCACGTAAAATGTCATTTTGACTAAAACTTCAGAGTATGCTTCAAAATAGCAGCATAATTTCTTTGATTGTGTTTCCTGCTTTAAATAGAAAAGATGGCCGTACCCTACACACTTGTTTTAGCTGTTGGTCTATGGAATATATTTGTAAGGTTAGTTAAACCTTCTGTGTAAAATGTTTTGCTTTTTAACAGGAACATACCTTCCTATTTTGAAATCGGGCATTTTCCAAATAGAGCTTTCACAATGACACAGACCTCCACTTTGACACTGATCTAAAAATATATATGCTTGGTGGGTACTTAATAAACTAGACCAGAGGCCTTAAAAATACCTACTAAACCAACACAGTAGTGGAAATGCTTTCTCTGGAGGGTTTGGATTCCGAAATTATTAGCATTTATGAAGAAAACTATTTGCCTACCTCCCCGAGGTAGTAATAGCTTACTCTAAGGAGGGTAAAAAATTGCTGATTAGGAATTTTGCTTTATTGTGTCTTCTGATGAGTTGAAAACTTTGCATCAAGGTGGATAACATGCAGTTCTTAATCATAGGTCCGCAGAGCAAACAGAGGAATACAAGGAATATCTCAGGATGTTCAAATATGGATTATCACTAATCACCTTTGAGGTCAGGATGTCGATGGGCGAGTTACATTCATGTTATTCTCCTTTCTCTGTGTCCTCTTCCCACTTTAGTTTCATTTCTTTCTTTTCCTTTTCTTTGCTTCAGTTTCAATTTCAGAATTCATACTTTTTGAGACCATTATGAAGACCTTGTCAAGTGTTCTCATAGCATGACTACTGGAGAGTTATGGTATGTTTTGTCTCATGTATGTTTGACTCTGTGAGGATTAAGATTAGTCCTTAGAATCCGTGATCGTGTTACATCTCTTTCAGGCTACTTGTTTTTTTTTTAATTAAAAAAATGTTTTAAGTAATCTCTACACCCAATGTGGGACTTGAACTCACAACGCATGCTCTATGGACTGAGTCAGCCAGTGCCCACAGTCTACTGATATTAAATTCTTTCTGCTTGCATCTTTTTAAAAAAATTTTAAAAGTTTTAATTATTTATTAGAGATACAGAGAGAACACAAGTGGGGCAGGGGCAGAAAGAGAGGGAGACACAGAATCGGAGCAGGCTCCAGGCTCTGAGCTGTCAGCACAGAGCCCAACGTGAGGCTCGAACTCACAAACTGTAATCATGACCTGAGCTGAAGTCAGACGCTTAACCGACTGAGCCACTCAGGCGCCCGCCCTGCTTGCATCTTTGATCAAAAATATGATTGTTTTCATCAATAACTTCGCCAACATATCACTTTTCACTCCCAGATTACACTGCATTTTGTTCCGGTGACACGTTGCCCTTTGAAATTAGGTGTGGAATTGTTTCTTATTTCCCCCTTGACACTTAGTCTCTCTTGTTTTTCCTTCTAAGGAAGAATTTTAAACACTTACTGTGAAGTTTCAAGTTTCCCTTATTTCAGATTAAGTCTCCGTTAACTGCTATTTTCAACTTTGTATTTTAAGAGCATCTTGCTCATAGGAATTAGTTTGTTTTTGGAAGGATTGGTTCAATGTCCTTGGAGGGGAACGCTGGACCAAGAATGAAAAATCCTGTGTTTTTGGCCATACTCTTTCACTAACTAGATCAGTGATGTTGGCCAAATGACATAATCTTGTTTATACTTCATTATCTTATTGAAAATGAGGAGGTTGGGGCAGATAATTTTTAATTACTTCAGAGATTATCTGGTATCCTTCTAATATTCCATGACTCTACTTATTTTTTTCTGGAATATGAGAATAAAGGATGAACATATGCATATTGCAACTGTTACCTTGAACTTCTTTTGTAAGCAGATAAGGAAACATAGGCCGTTGGCTTGCCATCTTTAACCTTTGGTTGTTTCATACAGTAATAAATGCCCTTGAGTTTACTGAAGGCAGTACAGTTAAAAGAGAGCAGGAGGCAGTATTTATATCTCTGTACATGTGAATAATTCAAGCTCTTAAATAACAATCCATTTTCCAGTCGCGGTTGACCAGTTAGACGATCACAAAAAGCTGAAAGGCCAAGAACAGGAAGCCAACCCACCCACACACCAAGCAGAGATTCCCGAGTGTCAGCAGCAAGCACAAGAATCCTTTAGCAGGCCCTCTTTAAAAAGATGTCACCACGCGCACAGTGACATACACGGATGCCTGGGGCAAACACAGACGCTGTTGGCAGTGTCCTGTCAAAGTCCCCCTACCTTGCAGCCTTCGCACGTGATGACTCCGTAGTGGATCCCGGAGGACTTATCGCCACAAATTTTGCATGGTATCACTTCAATTTGTGCTGCAAGGGGAAAACAGACATTTTGAGCTTCTTCCTTTTGCTTGCCTGGCTCCCTCTCCACCTCCCCCTGGCACGACCTGAGTGTTGGAAGACCCTGGCGTGGGCTCACTCACCACTATTGGCCCGGCTTCCTGAATCTTCTTCTAAGAGAAAGGTATCTATCCATCTACCAAGGTTTGCTTTGTTTTTCGAAAACTACTAAATATAACCAGGGACCGGAAGTCTTCTAAACTCTTACTTCACTGCTTTCTCCTTTTTATTTATTTATTTATTTAAAATGTTTGTTTTATTTATTGTTGAGAGAGAGAGAAAGAGAAAGAGACAGAGTGAGAGGCTGAGGGGGAGTGGAAGACATAGAGAGAGGGAGAAAGAGAATCCCAAGCAGGCTCTGCGCTGTCCGTGCAGAGCCTGATGTGGGGCTTGAACTCACAAACCATGAGATCATGACCTGAGCCGAAACCAAGAGTCTCAGGTTCAACCGACTAAGCCACCCAGGCACCCCTGCTTTCTCCTTTTTAAACCTGACCTGGTTATTGGGGCGCCTGGGTGGCTCAGTCAGTTAAGTGTCTGACTCTTGATTTCAGCTCAGGTCATGATCTCACGGTTCGTGAGTTTGAGCCCCGCATAGGATTCTGCACTGACAGCTCAGAGCCTGGAGCCTGCTTGGGATCCTGTCTCTCTCCTTCTCTCTCTCTGTCTGCCCCTACCCTATTTGCACATGCTCTCTCTCTCTCTCTCTCAAAATAGACAAGTAAACTTAAAAATTAAAAAAAAAAACACAATAAAAAAATAAACCTGACCTGGTTATTAATTAGACTAAAAAAATCCCTTGAACCAGTGGCTACGGTTTTCTTATTTTGCACTTCAAACATCAAGTCACTGAGTGTTATCATGCTGCCTTATTTCAACAGTATTTTAAATAAGTAAACAAAGCAAAGCTGAAATGGAAGGGCGTGATTTTATAAATAATGTGGCTGGATGTTTACTTCGAGTATGTCAGTGGTGACAATATTTATTGAGCACACTCCATACGTCCGCTAAAATAATAAAAGTTGTTGACACAAGATATATTAGTGACACAGATTATTTCATTCATAAAACAAAATGCATGGAAAAACCAGGAGAAAATGATAGAACATGTGGCTCCTATGACTTCAATACGAAGAAAATAATTTCGTGGAGATGAAGACATTAGGGTTGATTCCGAAGACTGTTGGGCTGAAGTGAAAGGAAAAGGCTGTTTCTGCAAACAGAATGGAATGAAGGACTTCTGGAATGACTGTGGCTCGTGATCGTTGAGACAAACACCTCGGCTCCACTGGAGATGTGGGCCATATGGTTGGGTAGAGGGAGGGATAAGAGATTATGGAGCTCCTGGGAGTTAGGCAGAGGAATTTCTACCTGATATCACTGGCCACAAGGGTTCAAGGGAAGGAACGGGGTGACGACAGGATCAAAGGGTGGCTTGGGTACCTTTGCTAACTGGGAACAAGCAGGAGACTAAAAGGCTATTCTGAACCCGGTGTCAGGAGATGGAAGTGTGGAAGACGTCAGTGGCAGGATAAGGGGAGAGGGAGAAGCAAATAGAAGGACAGTTCTATGAAGAGAAATGACAGAAAGGACACAGAGGTAGAAACTGATGAAGAATCCAAAGATGACTTCTAGCTTCACCCTTAGGATGAGGTTCAACAGTTGGTTTGACACAAATGGAATTGTTGGTAAGGCAGCCACTTTATGGAACATGGTGGGGGTGGGGGACAGGATTTCCAGTTTGCATGTGTGCATGTGCAAGCACCTGTATACAGAACCCTCTGGAAAGATGATTTTAAGGCATCAGCATTGAGGTTATGGATGAATCCACGAGATAACTTTATTTAGAATGTAGTAATTCCTATGTCTCTGGTAGTATTCTAAGTGTTGTTAAAATTATACACACCAGGAAGATCTGCTATTCCCGTTCCCAATTTAAAATAATTATGCAAAATATGCCTCAAAATGCTTTGTACATCAATCTGCCATGTGGATGCTTTTCTACAGTTTCTCACCCTTGAATATACAAAACAGACAAATGCAAGACATAACCCTCATTGTCTTATTATTTTACATTTTAAAAAAGATAATACTTAGCTTGAGGAGAGCATCTTAAATTTTTTTTGAAATTCAATATTTCACGGTATGTTCAAATCATCTTTATAAGCAAAAAATTCAGCATTATGGCCTATTTTTCATATGAGAAAACTCAGAATCCAAGTGGTTAATGATGCCTTTGAGTTGATTTGGGAGATGGCAACCAGAAATTAGCCAATTTTCCTGATATTTTGTTCTGTGACCCTTTCCCTGCTTACCACAGAGACACAACATGAATACAATTTTAAATTTCTGTATTATTCTAATAGTGCCAGCTAAAGAGACAATGATAAAAATATCAAGAGATGAGACAAAGTCAACTAAAATACTTATTAGACTAAGTACTTCTATTGCTTCTGTTTTTTCAGCTTTCAGATTATATGAACTAGTATTTGTTTTCAAGATTTTGTGATATGGGGAAAACATGTGAGATCTGATGTAATTTCTATTCTGTTTTCCTGGATTCCTGTCCCGAACCTGATAATGACTGGGTCCATAGGTAAGATAAAAGTCTTATTTTGTTTCCTGGTTTACAAAGTTAGCTGACAAACTTCATAGATTTGTGAGGTTTAATGAGATATTTTATGTAGAACTTGCCTTGCAAATAGTGAAGAGCTACAAAATGTCAGTTTTTAACAGCGTCAGAATCGTTGCTAACTGGTATTTCTAATGCTATTGGACGAGAATTATGACAAGCCACATTATTATTCCTTTACTAAAAATCTTATTTAAAAAATACAAATGAATGACACTATACATAATTTGTACTTTTTTTTTTCTTTCTAGCGATAACCTTTCACACAGTGGATTCTTTACAATGATTACAAAATTGACTAAAAATACCAGGTATCCATTGTACAGTTGCTAAGCTTATATGATATTAAGTCAGAGGTGCTCTTTGCATAAATTACTCCCCAGGGAGTAACTTACACGTGGGGAGAATCTGCTTCAATAAGTTCTTAATTATAAAATGATCTAACTCTAAAGGAAATGAAAATAGAGGTAATTTGCCCCCTAGGGTGTGAGAAGATGTTTTTGAAAGCCACAAAGGTTATCTTATACAACTTGGAAAATACAAACGGGATCAGGAATGATTCGGTAGAGTATCTGCATATTTATACATATTTATTATCTTAGCTCAACATGTAATCCTGAAGAACCATAAACATTTTAACAGTATTTTTAAAGAGAAAGAAGTCACTTAAAAGGACATACGTGTGTTGATATGTGTGGGGAGGGATTATCAGTTCAGAAAACCCATGGCCACTTTACCTATTAGGACAGAATGGGTTATACGAGGTTATACAGAATGATACTTTTTTTTTTTTTTGAGAGAGAGAGAGAGAGCGCAAGTGAGCAAAGGGCAGAGAGAGAGAGAGAATCCCACAAGGGGCAGAGACAGAGAGAGATAGAAATGGGGCTCACCCCAAACAGGGCTCTTGTTTTACCCGAGGTGGGGATCATCCTTACCTGAAGCAGGGTTTGAGCTCACCTGATATGGGGCTCGAACTCACAAACCGTGAGATCGTGGCCTGAGCCAACGACAGATGCTTAATGACTGAGCCACCCGGGCGCTCTAGGTGAAGATAAACATAAATAATGGAAAGCACTAATCCTTTTCCTTTGCGCTCATTTAAAATACACTGCTTCTGAGCTACAACATCATAGTTCATACTATGTATTTTATAATACTTCAAGGCGGAGTATTCCAGACAAAGATGAGGACAATGTATGACGTAATTGCTCCGATGTTTGCCCCTTCCAAATGTCTAGCCATTACTCCAGCCACTGTCTCCCGGGCAGTGATCTTGCAGTGAATGCAGACACGGTGGCATGCTCTTTGTCATGGCTTCAGGCTGAACATCTAGGGAGGATTTGGTGGCTTGGACCCCACCAGCTGTGACAATGAAGGTGCTCTAAGGAAACTGTGGGGGAAGTTCAACTTTCCTCCTTTTGCATGACTCATGGATCAATTCAACGGTAGCGTTCTCTGAGCGACAAACGTAGGGGAGCCCCCATGCCCTGAGAGATGGCTCGAGGTGCGCTCTTTTCTCACTTTCTACATTGCTTATATCTTCCGCTCCCTTATATTATTTCTATTGGTAATCCTCTGTGGAGACTATACTTAACATTGCATTTACCAATGAAATCTCTTTGTATACAAAAGCATATGTATGTTTTTGGGGGAAGTGATATTCTTAAAGAATATCATGAAATATTGAAACTAATTTGATATTGTACCTTGTATTAGAACACTTAATGAAGTACAATTAATTTAACACCCTATGATTTATCAGGAAGGTCCTATTCAATAACTATAAACTAGTCACAGTTTGTGTCTTTGAAGATGGCGGGTCTCTCCTCTCCCCCCAGCACCTCCTGAAGGCCCTTCCTTGCTTAGCACCCCTTACAACATTGCACAAAGCCACTGTGTGTTCAGTTCTTCCTGATTATCAAAACGTGCATGTCTTTTTGTTCTGCTCCCTCAGAACCCCCTGCTGGTGAATGCAGGTGTTAAGTGAGATGAACTAATCCAGGCTAATGCATTCACCAGAAAATGCTTCACTTAGATGCACCAAAATACCTTAATTCTTTTTTTTTGTTTATTTATTTTGAGAGAGAAAGAGAGGGAGAGAGAGAGAGAATGAACAGGGGAGGGGCAGAGAGAGACAGGGAGAGAGAGAGAATTCCAAGCAGGATCTGGTGCTGTCCACCCAGAGCCCAATGCAGGGCTCGAACCCACGAACTGTGAGATCATGACCTGAGACAAAATCAAGAGTTGGTCACAGGACCAACTAAGGGATGCAGGTGTTCCCAAGATACCTTAGTTCTTAAAAGAATCCATCAGGAATGGTAGTCACAGTGGACTGTGC